ACCCCAAGATGCCGAGCGTCACGTCCGATAGCCTTTTCTTCTTCTTATTGCACACCACCTCCACTAGTTATGAGTTACCGGGCCGGGCAGTCGGCCAGTCGGCGAGAAATTATGCAGCGCTAGCGTGGTCGATAGAACGAAAGCCAGACGCTGGCGGTGAAAGAACACAGCATCTTGCTATCAAAGCAGTTTGTCATGCGATATCACCGAGATCGCCATCCCAACAACGTTCTGCTGCGGAAGTATAAGCTGAGTCAGAGGATAATTCCTTGGGGGTTAAACGCAGCTGCTACAAAAACAAGGTTGATCAGCACGTCCATGGCTTTTTATAGTCGGCTCTTTAACGTTTAATGGCCAAATTTGAGAACCCGGCTTCGTAAACTATCAACCAACACCGGTAGTCAAAGGTAATTTTAGAACAAGGAGAAGGCAAGGCAGTCAGTTAATGTACGACGGACAGTGCAGAACAGTGGTAACTTATTTCTCTTGGCCCAAATAAAATGTTAGCAGGACGGCGCTCCATCCCGCACAGCGGACGCAACGATGGATATTCTGCAAGAACGATTTCAGGCGATGCCTATTTCTCGCATAAGTGTGGTGAATACGCCACCCAGTTCGTAGTTCTATGCCAAGAAGCCGTTATCAAGCGATGCCCGACATAACCCAGCCCATCATTCAAATTCATTCGGAACTAAATATCTAAATATGCGGCAAAGTCATGCAAAGTGGGACCTCTCAAGTCCGGACGATATTGTGTTCCCAGTATGACACAAAAAAAAAATAACAAATAACTAATAACTGTTTTTTATTATGGTTTTCCCATTTAAAAATCGCATTTCTATTATCCATTTATTCGAACGTATCAATATGTAGATTTTCAATTGCCTCAAAATCGGATTTCTTGTGTGCAGCTCGCAATATAATAATAATAACGATATCGAACGAATATAACGATATAATCAATAATAATTTTGTTTGCACTGAAGTAACTAAATTTAAAATTTTTGCAAATCATGCATATCACACACACTTTTTGGGGAAGCTCTCCTTTTTCTTAAACAATTAAAATTTATATCAGCGCTTTTTTAAATTCTTTTTCGTTTTTTTTTTGCCAAAACTTTGCAGCAGACTAATGTTCTGAACTTAGTAAATATTTTTCCATATGATTGAGTGGTTTCTTGTGACTTTTTGCTAATTAAAATATAAACATATTTTTTTTAAGTAATTTTAAATTTGTAATGTTGAAAAGAAAGACACTGTAGCAGTTTCTGAAGGTAAGCACTGGCCAAAGGCTTGCAGCAGCAATGGTTCAACTGCGATTGTACCCATAAAGTCTTCAATGGAAACCTAAAAACCGTATGACAATTAGTGTTATTTGAAATACATACATATGTAAATTCAAATTAAACAACAAAGAAACGACTAAACGACTTAAGATATCAAAACACTTCTTTCCTACCTTGCCATCCTTATCCAAATCGAATTTCTTCAAGACGATCTCCACCAAATCTTTAACACCTTCATCCGGATCCTCATCCTGTGGCTGTTTGATGAGACAATTACGCAACAGCGTAAACATTTCATCTTTCGTTATAAAGCCATCACCATTCAAGTCATAGACACGAAAGCAAAAGTTAGCGCGCTCAGCTAGCGAACCACGCAGAAAAATCGACAAGCCTGTCAACCAACCATCCAAGCGCAATGGCAAACCTTCGTGAGCGCGATCCCAACAACAAAATATGCGTTCCATTAAAATTTCTTCGGTGACAATATCGAAAGTGCTGTGCAGCAATTCGCGGAAGACGATGCGATCGACACCCTGCAAATGGGGAAGGGAGAGCAGAAAAACAAAATACATATGTATATGTACATTAGGGTGCGTCACAACAAAAAGTTGCGAATTTACATAGGTATTATAAAATTTATTATATTTTAAGACTTCCGCCAAAGTATTTCGAAAAAAATTAAGACTTATCTACTTGAGCTGTACCGATTTGAAAATACCACCAGAAATGTTTTTTTTTTTTTTTATAAATAGAACTAGTTTTTCAAAATATCTTTTACAAAAAATCCCCTTATATTATAGAAGAGTTAAAGCTTAAAAGGCCAGCATAAAAATGTGAAGAAATTTTACCAACAATAAAAACAAATTAGATACTTGCAGGTAACGTAAATCTTATTATTTGTCTGCAATATTTTGGCCGAAGTCTTAAAATGTAATAAATTTTACATTTCCGATGGAAAAGCAGTACCGTACCGACTTTTTTTTGTACGTAAATATGTGAAAATAAAAAATCATGGGAATTTATTGATTAGCAAAGCGATCAAAGACCGAACGAGGCGCAGTGCTGCAAATGAGCAAATCCCACGAGTTTTTTTTTAGTGTCACTTCCTACTCTCGGCAGAAAAAAGCCAAAGCATTCTTTTTCCATTTTTTTTTTTAATCAATGGAGTTCCAGAAACAAGCACAATAAAAAATAAATCAAGTATTTGAACAATTTTAAGCTTAAAACCTTTGTTTTTGTATTTTGTATCGAAATAACCAAATTTTTCATTGTCGCTCGAGAAAATCATAAGTGTTTTGTTTTAATAACTTTGGGAAATTTTCAAATATAATGTTCATTAGAGGCAATGGATGTTGGCATCTAATACAACATATCTGTGAAGTTGCAAGAGTGTGCCACGTAATTAAGAAAAATGACAGCATGTAAACTATCTGTCGCAGCTATTTTGTAGATTTTTTAAATTTTAATAATATAAGATACTTCACAATGTAAAAATTAAATGGCGAAAATGTTCTCCTAGCCAAAACGAACGGATCTAGTGTATTAAAATAAGTGTGCCACCAAATAAAAAAAAATTACATTGAGTAAAAGATGACTATGAGAAACTAAAATTCCATTTTTACAATTTTTATTGGCACACTCGAAATACATTCTAAAATTGTTGTATACATGAAGAAAGTAATACACATGCGCATAGGGAATACTGTGTAAACATAAAATTTCGTTTGTTCTCTATACAAAACTGGTGATAACTGAGATAGCTGTACCTACCTCCATTTTCGACCAATGTAAGATTTGCTCATATACGTAAACATACAAATCTTACCTCGACTGTTGCATGTGGCTTTACAATTGCTGCACTCGAACTGCCGGTCGCCAATGTTTTAGCGGCATATTGACTATTCGATATAAGTTTACGATAAATTCGACATAAAGCATCTATTTCATCCCTTTAAAAAGAAATAAACATATAAGAGAGTTGAATAAGTTTTAATTTATTGAATTTTTCACGAGTCTGTAATAAAGCCTAACGATTAAAAGTTACTCATACTCGCTTGTTTCTTTTGAAAATATTAGGCAGCGTGTAAAGGTCACGGGTCTTTCATATAAATCCTTATACCCCGCAACAGAACGTTTTGTAATATAAAAAAAAAATGCTCCCATTATAGCAGAAGGATTGCTCTTTCAAGTGAGCTTGGTTTTGAATGTGTACAGTAATGTTGAAAACTACAAAAAATATATTATTTATTTTTTTAGGGCCTAAACGAAAGGAATATTACCTCAATAATTTTTGTTCATGTTTTTTCTAGCGACGGCCGCTGTGGTGTAGTGATTAACAGTGCGCGCTACCACTCCGCAGCGCCTGGGTTCAAGCCCTAGTCAAAGCTACATCGCAACAAAAAAATATAGAAAAAAGGGGTTTTCTTAACAGCGGTCGCCCCTCGGTAGACAATGGCAAACCTCCGAGTGTATTTCTGCCATGAAAAACAGCTTTCATAAACAGCTTTCATACAATCGCCGTTCGAAGTCGGCATAAAACTGTACATAAGTCCTTCCCCTTTGTATGACAACAGCCAAGCGCACGCCACAAATCCGAGGAACACTAACATATGTGTGGAACAAATGTGGTTAATAAAGCGATATTCTGCCGAAATCCGCAATAAAATCTGCATTTTGTTAACTTTAATCCTGCAATTTCCACGCCCATTTAGAGGTTTGTCGCCTTAAAGAAAAATCTTGCCATACAAATATTATATGTGGATAGATGTTGTTCTGAAATCCTTTGTTATTGCTACATATCGTCACCTTAATTCACAAAGGCCCTAGCCAACAAATTTTTGATTTTACAGGAGAAGCAACAAACATTACAAAATCAGTATCAAAAACAGGTAGGATTTTTTAAAAAGTGGCATGTAACTCCGTTGTTTGTGGTAATAATACTGCAAAATTTTTAATGAAGGTTTATTTTAATACATTCTACCAAAATCTGTGAGAAACGCAGTCTCGAAAAAGATGTTGGTTAGGGCCTTTGTCAATTAAGGTAACGATATGTATGTACATATGTATGTAGAAATTAAAATTCAATACTAGATGAAATCAACTGTTTCAAAGTAAATTTACACTCAATACTACACACGTACACATCTCATTGCAGTAACGTGCATTTACCGGGGCGTATACGTTACATTAACTCATCACCAAGTAATTAAAAGTTACTCATACGACATGACCCGACTATGCTCAACAAAGGGTATTTATAAACTTGTAGCAAATGGGAGATAACAACGTTTACCAGTATGATTTTCGATTTTGTTTGCATTTTTTTTAATGCTGCCGAGTTCATGCTTTTTGCATGCTTTCTCCATTCTTTAAGTAATTGGATATCGCTCATTTGCTGGAAGAATCCCAAAGAGACAATTTAACGTCAGACCTTCGTTTACGTGGTGTAAAAAATTCGTCACGATATCTGTACATTTTAATTCACAAGGAGAAACGTTTTATCCTTGCAGCTCTACTCATTTCCACCTTGTCTAGCAAATATAATAAGAAGGCAAGAAACCAAAGTGCGGTTTGATAAATTTCAAGATTATACTTTTTGGCATTGTTTGATTTCTGATGTTAAGGTATTCCTTCAGCAAACGACCGGATATGCCACATATGAGAGCACAATAACAAATTTACATAGTAATTCAACATTTGAACACTTCAACTCACTTGCTAAACTTTGTCTTTTTACGTAAATTCTCCAACAATTTGGGATTCAATTTACCGCTCAACTCGTCCATCTTGCGTTGGCGACGTCGCTTATTCATCTGTTTGGCGCGCTGTTGTGCATTGCTGGAGTTGCGCTTGCTGCTCGCCAGAAATGCGGTAACCGTTCGCAATATACAACGGCTGGTTAGCTTTGTAGACTTACCCTTGCCACCGCTAGCGCCACCACCTGCGGCGGGAACAGGTGACTTTCCCTGTTGTCGTGTACCATTAGATGGCCGTGCAGTGCCGCTTTTGCCGTTGACGGTTCGACCTGCTGTATTCACACTTGAAGCCGTTTGCGTTACCACTATGAGGGTGAAATATATATAAGAAGAGGAAACAGTTTTGGAAAGGTCTACTTCGAGGTGAATGAAAAAATAACATGTAGATAAAAAAAAAAATGCAAAAAATTGGCAAGTCAATGAAGTTAGCGGACAACAACAACAACAATACCAACTGTTAGCTAAATGCGCGTCAATCATGCAATAATGACGATAGACAGCAGACAGCAGACAACAGACACCAGACAATATGCTTTACACAATAAAAGTAAGCCAAAACTTCAATGCCCTGCCCCACAGGCATGCCAACAAAAACTTACATATACACATATATGTATGCTAATTTTTCCATATGCATGTGAGCATAAATATTTATTTCTAATCGTAAACAGTTGGAGCTTATATTGCCTGGTTTTTTGTGCGCTTGATTGATATCTAACTTCCTTTCGCGTCGAGTCGTGCCACCCGCTAAGTCGTCGTACTAACTATTTACATGTCTGCAAACGTACATTTTTGTATATACATACATATAGTTCACTTAACTGCTTAAAATGCCTACTACATTTAGTGGAATTCCTTTTCTCTTAAATCACAATGCTAACTTAGTCATATGAAGACATTTGTATAGCGTGACGATTGAATGGCAGTAGAGGTAAATGATTTTATTAGCTCGATCTCGCACCTCTCCGCCAACCTACGAAAAATATACATCACTCAAATGCTACTGCCTAAAAATATGCAATCACCATGTTTGAATAATACTATTAATTTGTTGATTCCATCACATGACTACATACATACATGCTTACCACATACATACATGTACCTATGCCCCGCAGTGAAAGCTCAATATGCAGCACAGCCAGATTTCTTTCATATTTATTCTGTACTAGTCGCAATGGGGTATAGTCGATGTGCTGGGTATGCAATTATAGTTGCATGGCTATACTCAAGCCCGACTCTTGTGCCCTCGTTCGCGCACTCTGGGCAACGTGAGCAACCCATGTGCGAGATGCGGTAACCAATCCGAGTGGGGCTTTGGGTCACGGCAGAAAGATAGGGAGCTTCGGTGGGGCCACTCCGACTTATTCGGTTTGAGGGCTCACTGAAATCTGCATCTGTGTCTGTTCACCAGTAGGTGCGGCTGCAAGCCGGTGTCTGTCTTGGAGCAAGCGGATCGCTATATAAACGCGTATTTGGTTACGAAACCACCGCCATCCCAGCAAAGGGTTTTCCGCTGGGTTTGGGACCCGCCACGTAATAACCACTTCCAGTGAAGAAGCAAGGCAAAGCCTTGGATGAGACCCCCCCTTATGATGACGACCACGGCAAACGTTTAAAGGACTACGATTTGGGGGCCTGCACCTGGAATGTCCGGACCGTTAATGGGGAAGGTGCTTCTGCCCGGCTGGTTGATGTCCTCGTAAGGACAAAAGCTGACATAACCGAAATTCAAGAAATGTATTGAACGTGGCAAGGCAAGCAATACCTGGGCCTTGCGATGTCTACTACAGCTGCCATGTAAAGGAGCGCAAATTCGGAGTTGGATTTGTGGTGGGAGAGAGACTACATCGCCGAGTACTGCCCCCGGTGGACGAGCGTCTAGCCACAATTCGCATGAAAGCGAGATTCTTCAACATTTTTCTCAGTTGCGCCCATGCCCCGACGGAAGAGAAGGATGAGGCATCCAAGGATGTCTTTTATGAGTGCTTGGAGCGTACGTACGAGCGCTGCTTCCCGCCATGATATCAAAATCGTGCTTGGCGACTTCAATCCCAGGGTGGGCAAGGAAGGTATCTTTGGAACCACCGTCGGAAAAGTCAGCCTCTACGGCGAATCATCCGACAATGGACTGAGGCTGATAGACTTCGCAGGGGCCCGAAACATGGCAGTATGCAGTACTAGGTTCAAGCATAAAAAGATTGATCAAGCAACGTGGCTGTCTCCGGATCGAAAAACGAGAAACCAAATCGATCATGTTGTGATAGACGGAAGGCATGCTTCCAGTAGTTTAGACGTACGTACACTCCGAGGCCCAAACATCGACTCGGACCACTATCTTGTTGCAACCAAGACACGCACCCACCTCTGTACAGCAGAAAATGTGCGCCCAAATATGCAAGGAAAGCTTAACGTCGAAAAGCTGCAATCACAACAGACAGCCAACGCATTCGCTACTCAACTCTCACACCTGCTCTCAGAGAGCACTCTTCAACAAACCGACATATGCGAGCAGTGGAACCACATTTCCCGCTCATTAAGTACCGCCGCCGAAGAAGTAGTTGGATTTCAGCGAGCCCGAAAGAACAACTGGTACGATGAGGAGTGTCAGGAAGCTGCAGAGAAAAAAAATGTTGATTTATTTATTTATCAATTATAGTGCTGGTTTTTTAAGTTTTGCTTTGACATTGCGGGAACATTCCAAGATTTCGAACTAGTCAGCCTATGCATCAGCTCATACCAGTTCCTGAACTAAGCAACCTTCATAACAGTTATTTCAATTAATCTACCAAAGGTTTTTTGACTATTTCGGCTTTACGCTGTAGCGTTATTCACTTGACGTGGGCATACATATGTACACACAATCAAGCTCATATGGTTGTAAACTTTGTTGTTAATAAACAAAAATACTTACCAACTTGTTGGCATGCAAGTACGCTTGCCAGTTTATGCGATGTATGTACATATGTTAGTTTTCTATGCATTTTGGAGTGCGCCTTAGGGTGTCACAAGTTTGGTTTTTGACATGATTTTTATGTAAAGATAATTTTTATTTCTTAAAGACGGGAAAATGATAATTGCATTTACATACACATTTAAGTATGAACCAGTTGGCTAACATTAAACTTGGTCCAATTTTTATTAAATCTCACATATGTCTATATGCTTGTAACAATGATAAAATTCATAGAAAATATCACCAACTCAGTTTGAAGATTTATAATGTCATAAATTTCAAAACGTATAAAATTTGACGCGGTTGTAAAAATATTTTCACTATCAAAAAATTTATGACAATACAACTTTTATGACAATATGTGAATTCCCTAAACATGTAAGCGGATATTATTTGAAAATTTAACTCCTCCCAAAAGTGGAATCGTTACAACAATCATTTTGTTTTTAGTCTCAACAATTTTTAAACATATATTTTTAAATATTTTATTTTTTTAAATAAGCAGTTTTGATAAGTGGTGGTAACTCTATTTAAGTCGTGTTTTTTTATGAAGAATAATCGCTAAATTTCAAATGTTTCTGTGCAATTTTTACAACTAATAAATAAACGAAAAATAAACGTTATTTTTGATTTTTACTTTTTTCGATAATTTTTAGTCGTTAGTTAGTTAGACTGATTTTTAAGACCGATTTTACAATGTGATCGAAAAAACAAAAGTCATAAAATAACGGTTAAATTTGATCAGAAGTACAGAAATCCAATTTCAATATTTTTTTGTAAAGGTTTTGGTACGGTCCCTGATTATTATAATTAAACCAGCGGACCCGTGAACCTCGTCCAGCGTAATATCATTTTTTATTTAAACCTTTTGGACCAACAATTCACGGTCGATACTTACAGTCACAAACTTATTTGCTCTGACTATGGTGTTTTGGATGTCTTAATGATTGATGACAGCTGTCTAATTTGGTCTTAGTTTTTCTGGTAACACCATGGGCCTAAATGGTCTCTGCGAATCCACGCAGTGTCTAGCCAACCTAATCTAACCTAAGTTCTTCTTTTAAATATATTTAGATGTTTTTAATAAATATGTTCTTTTCGTTGAATACCCATGTGTAAATATTTGACGTACTTATGTTTATATTTATATTATATTTACTTCTTTAAATAGATAACACCCCTTACCAAAAATATAAGAAATATCAATTTAGCTTTCTCAATCAAAATGAAGATTCGCATCACCGTTACTGATCTGTCTCCAAACTACGTTTGACATGGGATAGCAGAAATGCTTTCCAAAATAAATACTTCCCCTAGAACCTCTTGATACACTTATCCGAAAGAAGACGATTTATTAAAGAACACAATCGCCTTAGAAGTTTCGAGATATTTATAACTGTGAATTATTTGATATCAAAAGATACACCCTAATACAGACGCGTATTCCTATACAGTATTTACTAAAGGCCAGTATGCAGACCTCAAGATGACGTACAAGAAATTGCTAAGAAATTTTCTTAGGTCAAATTTCCTAAAGGCAGTACGCAGTTCTTAAGAAATTTGCTACGCTTTCTACTACGGTTTTCTAAACCCTTTTGCGAAAAAAGAGCACAAGACAAGCCATGTTTGCAACAGAAATATATGCCCGTTCCTTTATTTCTTGAGGAAAGTGTGAGGCAACAGGCTGTCACAGGCTGCGAAGTATCAGATGTCAAAATTCCTTAGAGACACGCACGAAATAATGGCGATTTTTTTCTTTATCGTTTTCTTGAGAGCTGAATACTGGCCTTAATATAGTAACTCATCAGCAAAGTATTCATATAACTAACATTAATATGATAGAGATCTTAACTTTTTATAACCTTAATTTCTTCCAAACCCTCCCCCACCTCGCTCTTTCTCTAGGTACTTCCTCTACAATGCATTCAAGTGTTTGGTTTCACACTGCCATAGTTTAAAAACTTTTCTAATAGCATTAACACCATTACTTTTTGGCACGCATAACATTCACTACTTTGGCAAAACTTTTACATTAGTGCTTTTTTAACTGACTTCCCATTGGCTAGTTTCAACTATGCCGTGCCGCCAAAGGATTTCGTTCTTGAAGTGTGAAAAGCACTCGGAAGTGGTATTGTATTTTTGTTCAAGGTATTGTAGAAATTTGCTGAAGAGTGTATGAATTAATTAGCAAAGTTGAAGACCAAGTGTGAAAATAAATCGCTCAAATCGTACCGGATTAGGTAATTAAATTTGAGAGTGTTAAAAGTTTACTTGATTGGAGGAGTTCGAGAATTAAATTGTTATAAATAAATTTCAAAGTGAATGAAGTAGAAAATGAATATGGTTAA